TATATCAATACAATATAGCAGGACTGATTCCATAGAATATAGATATGTATCAATACAATGTAACAGGGGCTGGGCCCATATGGTATGGCTATGGTAATAGCTAGACTGTCATTCCTAGTAACTTTATATAGTACTACACTTGACCTGACGTGATTTCCATGAATTTTTATGACGGTGACCAAAAAACTAATAAATGTTCCAGTGTTTCAACATCGTTGTAACAAAATGGACATAATAGCGAGTTTTAGGTTAAATAATGGTGATCTCCATGGTGATCTGTGGTTTTCTACTCGGTGATTTTATGAAAACAATCCTGGTCTATATAGTGAAAGATAAAACAGGTGACTTGATCTGCAAAAATAACTCCAGATCTATTGCCATCTTCACTGTGTTCTCTAACATGTGTATTTATGCCATGACAGACATTATTTACTTTACTATTATCATTCGTACAATATGCATGCTTTTTAGATGCCACCAAGACATTTGTCCGTGTGAACCATTGGTTTAGAAATTTGATTTACAAGGGTCATACCTGGTTATGCTGTTATTCGCATTGTAATTGTTTGGTACCGTACTCGGTTGTTTACTGTTCGTTGGAGGGAAAGTCTACTTCGTTCGGTAAGATAAGATTTCGCCTTTATTTTCAGTGTATATATAGATGACCTCGCTGATCTTTTAAAGTCATCTAAAGTGGGCTGTTGCGTTGGCGGTTTTTTTTATCTTGAATTCGTCCATCCGCGGTTTGCAAACTTTTGTTTTGTTTGCTATGAACATGGCCCATTATTGTCTACAATCCTAAAGAGTCTGAATAAATGAACATTATTCCCCGGAAGAGTGCTCTTAGAAGCGGTGTACTTCCATCCGTATATCTTGGTGACTCTAAGCTTGGAATTGTGCAAAAGCACGTCTATCTTGGATGTATTGTTGCTGATAATTGTATCGGTGAGGACATAAAACGATCATTCCACGGCAGAGCCAAAATTCTGCTTCGAAACTTTTCTAGTTGTAGCAGTGGTGTTGAAATTACGTTGTTCTGATCATTTTTTTCTAACGTGTACCGTACACGACTGTGCTTTCAAAACATTGGGAAATCGCATCGGTTTTCAGGATTCTTTACACATTCTAGAGATCTTACTGCACGAATGTAAAAAACGGGCACACAAACTAGTAAAACACAAACTTCCAATAAACCAGAAAAGTTACACAAAATCGTTTTTTTTTTCGTATATTTTTTCGATGAACACATTTTTAATAGCCGTTTTAATTTCTTCACAATTATACTGATTAAAAGTCTCAATAATGGTTTTATTAACTCTACGATCACTTGACTAACTGTGGGTTGCGCATGACATAACATTGATTTTTATTTAGGATAAAGTCTGGGCTTTCATAAAATATATAGGTTGGAATGGTTTACTTCCGGGA